TAGTTTGGCAAACAACCCTTGCCAATAGGATTCACTCCGAGATTTCACCACGGCTATCTCGAACCGTTTACAACGAAGATTTAACGGCTATCTTCTACCGTTCCCCCAAGGATTTCAAAGGCTATCCTTGAACCTTTACCCAAGGATTTATACGGCTATCCTCGACCGATACAATATGAGAATTTAACGGCTATTCTCGACCGTAAGAAGGTGTGTTTGAAGAACACAAAAGAGGATTCTACACAACGGCTAGAATATAAAAATGAAGAACAAAACTTAGCCGGTGTAGAAGGAAATTATACTCTCTCAAAAATACAATATAAACTTATGAATATGAGAGTATATAACTAGAAACACAAGCTCAAAGTGTGTGTATAAAATTCAGGAATTTAAGGCTCTTGAAATAGCCAAAATATTGAAAATAATTAATAAAAGGATGAACACACTTAGAATAAAAAAAGAGGATGTTTAGAGCTTTGTTTCTTGAAGAAATATGAAGGATTAGGCTTGTATTTATAGTGGAAGATGTTAATTAGCCGTTGGGAGGTGATTAGGGTTGATTTAATTCAAATTGGCAATTTTGCTACAGTGCTGTAACGGATCCGGTACCCTTCACGGTAGGGGGGTCCGTGTCATCCGGTACCTAGGTACCGTGACACGGTATAGCCTACCGTTTGGGGGTACCGTGTCTTCCAAAAGTTCGGTTCGCCTCTGGCGGTACCTGGTTAGGACGGGTTCGGCCAACCGTCTACGCCTACCGTCGGTACCTAGGTACCGTTACACGGTATGGGGGTACCGTGTAGGCGGTATATCCTACCGTGTGGCGTACCGCTAGAGGTACCGTGACTCTGTTCTGATTTTTCCCTTAATCCTTCGTGTTTGAGTTTAAAACCTTTTAGATATTTTGAAAGTGTTTATGTGATGGTTTTAAACATATTTTGTGAGTGCTTTTGAGCTTGTGAATATAGGTATATAAAGTCATATCATTACATTGGTTTCTACCTATATTCTACGCTAGTTTTAGTGTTTCGACTTCATTCTTGAGTACCGAATCTTAATGGATTCTTGTTTTCCTGAAACACTTAAACAAACGTTAAGCTCTTATATTGTTTGTTAACATCAAAACATGAGGCTTAGCAAACCAAGGCTAACAAATTATCCTTCCCTTAATTTCAATTTTAATCAAAAAATGTAAATCTTTTTGGGACGAAGGTAGTAGAATTTTTTGTTGTCTAGCAAAAACACTAGCGAACGTGCGCCTCATTTGTCATTTATCAAAATAGTTTTGCACTTAAAACACAGGGTGATGTGGCCATGTTTGATGATAATATTAGTTTTTTGAAAATGTTATCTAATGATTATTTTTATTTATTGTTAATGTTTTAAAAATTAACTTAAATTACTAAAGTTTTATTGAAACCCAAAGAGCTTGTTGTCCCGTGGGTCGCAATTTCAAAAATTAATCTAACCAATTACTCACTACGTCCTGAAATGTTCTTCCCACTTACTATTTACACGGTCAAACTTTAATCACTTTCTTTACCTATTTTCATTAGGTATTTGATAAAATAATATAGTGTTGTCACCACTTGTTTTGTAGAACTTTTGATGTACTTTTTAAATATGTAAATTTTATTTTTTAATTTTACACCTACAATCAAATAAATTGAATTAAAAATAAAGTCAGTCAAACTTCGTAAACAGAACCGGGAAGAATATTATAGGACGGAGAAAGTAAAATTTTATTGAAATACAAAAAGCTTGCATTTCAATGGAATTTTTTATTTTCTAGCTAAAACACAGCTGACGTGGGCCCTGTTTACATAGTTTTGCACGAAAAACACCCACTGATGTGGGCCTCATTTGATTATAATGTTAGTATCATGAAAATATTATCTAACAATTGTCTTTAAGATTAGTGTTTTCAAAATTAATCTAAATAATTAAAATTTTATTAAAAAGCCAAAGACCTTGCATTTCAAGAGAAAATTATGTTTTCTAGCTAAAACACCAAATAACGTCAGAATTTTTCCGTCGCCAAACATTAAATTCTGTAGGTAATTGGTGACGATGATAGAATGCGTGACGATACCATTCCCATCATCATATTTTTGTTATTGATTTTAACTATAGATTCTGATATTTGTCATTAAATAGAGACTGAACTAAACGGAGGTGAGGGCGACTGAATATCTTTGTCTCCAAACCTTTTTATAAATTTATTTGGAGGATAAACGCTGCGAAACAGCGCTGACAGAAAGATGAACGAAGAAACAGATGAATTACAATTTGATAGTTAACGAATCGCATAAACGCTTTCAAATCAAAGTTATTTTGGGGTATACCAAAATACTTCAATCGAATAAGACGTTAATCAAGAACAGACACTTCGAATTTGTGTCTCAATGCATACCTACGTCTCTATATTTATAAAAACAAAAAGCCATGATCGGATAGACACATACATTCATGAAGATGTGTCAATACAACGAAAGGTTGCATGTGGTTTGGGCTGTTTTGAACGTTCAAAAATTGAACGTTTTTGGCCTCCATTCGCGAAAACAAAAGAATTTTCATAAAGCAATAATGTGCAAAATAAAGAATTTCTAAGGTGTCCCGGGACCCCATCCAGGAGCTCTGCCTGACAAATATAGAAAAGTGAGATATAATTGAACCAATTAATTCCAAAAACACATGGATGTTGTGGCTTTACAATTTGAATGAATTTATTAAAGTGAAATTTGCACTAAATAGGACTAAAACATAATGACTTTCTTAATCTAGGACTTAAATTTTTTTATTCCCTAAATAAGACTTAATAATGTCTTCGTGGATAGAATAATGCCCAGCAATGATGGAATTTTACTTGAATAATGACTAATTAATAATGACCAAAGGTCCTACATTGAGAAATAAAAACATATGGTCCTTTTTAAAGAAAGTATTTAGAAGATCAATGCTTATTTTATATTCTTATTTTTTTCGGTAAACATTATTCTCACAAGAACCATCTTCTATAAATATATGTCTTTCATTATAGATGGTATGCATTCTCATTTCTTACACAATACACCATTCTTATTTAAATCCGTGTGTCATATACATACATACATACATACATACATACATACATACATATATATATATATATATATATATATAGACACACACACATACTAGCATTTTGACCCGTGCTATGCACGAGGTTGAACAAAATCTTTTTCGATTCTGAAATTTTTTCAATATAATATTTTTTTGAAATAAAGATAATATCTTTTTCGATTCTGAAATTTTTCGATTCTTCCCCACCCCCACCCCCTTCCCTCCCCCCTCCGCTTCTAAACTATTTTATGGTTTAGGATCCCCAAACATTTGGTTTTATTTTCATAAGTTATTCTTGAGGAGATAACTTAATGTCTAGAATCAAGAATTCGGGTAGAATATCAATGTCACTTGTTCCATCACTCACTTTTCCAAGCTTTCCATCTCCAAGTTTGAGTATCCAATCAGAAAAAGCTTGTGTGCCCTATCCGTGCAAGAGGGCATTCATGAATGCAATCTTACTCTTCGTTAACGTATAAACTTTACAATAGGACCACAATTTTGATGAATTGATGGTAGCACCTACGGGTCAATTATATTTTGTCTATTATGCACGCAAAAGCTTGATGAATTTAGTGTAAAATTGTTATCTGCTTGAAGCACTGTATAGAAAATTTTTAGAAAAAATGTACTGGAAATATAAAATATTTAATTCGAAATACAAATACCAGGTGTCACATCACATAGCATATATATTTCTTCTTAAATGGGTTTGATTATGCGTGGTTATAGTCAAGGACAATCCATCTCTATCTGTATATGTAATATCTAACATAAAATTATACTACTATTTATCTCATGAAAAAGTACAAATGTTTTTTGTACTTTTTTGGCATGCATTATAAATATATATATTTTATTTTTATATACATAACTTTTTAGAATAAAAGCTTTGGTCCATAATGCCTTTCTTATGTATATTTTAATCCAACATAAAAATTTTATATTTTAATCATCATTAAAATACCATTGTCATCATCATTAATTATTATTACTATTATTCAACATCACTTAGGGACAAAATTTTTATCGTTGTTCTTTATAAATGATAGTTTTTTCAAAAATAATTATATAAATCCTTATTTTGAAAAAAGTAAAAATGGAAAGTGGTGGATAGTTTTACAAATTTACATAAAAATAAATTTATCTTTTCGTATATTTTCAATATTAATTAAATTAAAATATTTGTAACTGCATATGTCCTTTTCCATATTCCTTTAAATATTTTACAGTGAAAATATTTATATGAAACTCTACATGGAATTTCTCATTCTTTCATAATTTACAAAAAAATATGTATGAATAATTTAATGAGTTACAAAAACTCATACAAATATATTCATTTTTGCCAAAGTTTTCCTCATTTAAAATTTAATATATAATTTTATTTCCAAAATAATAAATTAATTATGTATATTAAGAGCTTTAATAAGGAAACTTCCTTTCAATGCTCTTGCTGACATGCATGAGGAGGTGTTAAAAAAATTGTCTAGTCAGCGTGTCACATATCGTAATTCTGGAAGCTTAACTCTCCATATATATATATATATATATATATATATATATATATATATATATATATATATATATATGAGAGCTAAGAAATAAATGTATTATCTCAACAAATTAAAATTATAAATTATATTTGGGAACTATTTTAAAAATATAAAAACTTTGTTAAGAATGACTTGACAAAAAAATATTTTAATGGAACCAAAAATAAAAATCATCCATTTTAGATGGACAAAAAATATTTAATCGAAAATGCAATTCTTATAAAAATTACTCAAAATGTTTTCATAATGAGTCAGCTCGACTTTATCAGAATTAAACCAAATTCTATTTAGCTTGAACATAATAACACCCATAGCAGAGGCAAATATGGGGAAGAGTTCTTGATAAACCGTACCAAACAGCTAGTCATAATGAAACATAAGATTGGTTCCTACAAATTTGAAACTATTGCTGCTGCATATTCATAGTGATAAACTGATAATAATGTGCAAAAAAAGCAACAATAAGAAAGGGACTGATCAAGAGATTGACACCTCAATCGTCTTGGATTTGGGCGGCGGAGGGTGCTTCTCCACCACCACAGTCAGCACCCCGTTCTCGCACTTCGCCGTGACCGCAGAGGCGTTGCAGTTCTCCGGCAGCCGGAATCTCCTCATCAACTTCTGCGCCGCCTTCCTCTCCAGCCTCAGATACTTGCATCCTTCGTCCTCCCGCTTCCTCTTCCCGCCGCTTTTGACCACCAGCGTGTCTCCGTCTTCCACCGCCACCTGAATCCGAACAAATTGGCTCTCAGATGTCCCGATCTGGTCCTGTTCCTACAGATCTAGGAAATCGAAATCGGTACTAGTACATACCCGAATGTCGGATTTGGATAGGCCGGGAACGTCGAGGTAGAAGATCTATTCCTTCGGGGTGTCGAGAATGTCGACCGGAATGTTGCCGGATCCCCTGCTCACGCCGCCGTCTTGCGCCTGCGATATCATTCGGTCGATCGCTCCGGGGATGTTGAGGAGTTGAGCCACCGCATCCACCACCGCGCTCATCTTCGCCGACGATGATTGCAAAATCAAACCTAACTTTAGATGAAATGAGTGATTAGCAGTTGTAAGTGGAAGGGACAATCGGTTGTGAGCATGAGGAGAGGATTGATGGATTTTTTAGACAATAAAAAGAACGACGCGACTGAGAACAATCCAGACGAGGGGTTCCATAAGCTTCTACAGTTCTTCAATTCCTTCCCGACTTCTAGAATTTTCTACCATGTGTATGTGTCAAATTGTTCATCCGTAAAAAAAAATAAAAAATAAAGAAACATTAATTCATTCTATTTCAAAAAAAAGAGACAATGAAAGAAAACTAATAATTAACCATAGATTTTAAATCTAAAAAAAGAAACAATGAAATAAAATTAAGATTTAAGAAATAAAAATTACAAAATTAGAAAGTTATGAATAATTGAATATGTAATACTTGGAAGGTGGAGGTCGGTGTCTGGCGACGTGACGGAGACGCCCTTTTTTCGGATGTTCGGCAATCCGCAGGCTCTTCGGCAGTTCGACTGTCCAGTTCTTTCTTCGGTTGTTGGAGTCTGAAGACTCGTTTTTTTGTGTCTACGGGGTGAAGGGGATGGGCTAAGGGTAGAGTAAGGTAGTTAGGTAGGGATTAGATTGGGCCTTAAACGGTGGGCTTGTTTTATATATATATATATATATGTGTGTGTGTCTGTATATGTGTATATATATATATGTATATGTATATGTATATGTATATGTATATACATACATATATATATATATATATACATATACATACATACATACATACATACATACATACATACATATATATATATATATATATATATATATATATATATATATATATATATATATATATATATATATATATATATATATATATATATATATATATATATATATAGGGGCCGGTTCCCGTGAGAATACACCTTGTGGAGAGAAATGAGAATAAAATCTAGCCGTTGGATCTGATGCATCGTGCGGCTCAGATTGCATCCTGCGCTCAGATTTTGAGATGGTGCATTTTCAAAGGATTTTAGTGCATTTCGACATGATGCATTTTTAAACCATTTTGGTGCATCTAATTTTGATGCAATCCTGACCATTAGATCTCACAATCTAAAGCACCAGATTTATTCTTATTTTTCTCCTAAGATCACATTCTCACCAGAACCAAAATACACACACACACACACTTAAAAGAAAAAATGTGCCACTAAAATTATTAGGCATGGCCCGAACGGACACTTTGTCCCCCTATTGGGTCGGCCCTATATTGAAACTCAGGAAAATTTCACCAGTGGTACTTGAACTTTAGCTGGAATTTCGAAGTGGTACCTAAACTTCAAATCCTTTCAGAAAAATTCCTGAACTTACACAATCCTTTCAATAAAAGTCCATTTGCCCGTTTCTAGGTTAACTTCCGGAAGGATGCAGCGTTTTTTAGTGGGTTGGAGCATTTTCCGGCCACCTCCGGAAAAATTGACGTCGCTCATCCCCTCCAATGTGTTCGTGGCATCTCGGTGACCCCCTAGGACCTCTCAATTGCAAGATTTGATGGCGATTTGCAAAAAATCCCAATTTTGGATTTTAAGGTTTTTTCGAGTGGAAAAATTCAAATTCGAGGAATTGCAGGCCAAATTGGACAAAATGATTTGGATATTCTTGATCCTCATCTCAAGACGAAGAGAATGGCGTTGGTCCCGCCGGAATCTGACTAGGTTGATTTTCCGGCGAGTTTGACGTGGTGGGACGGCGCCAGGGAGCGGAAGAAAAGAAAAAAAAGAAATGGGGTCAAATTGAAAATTTTAAAATATATAAAATTCTAATTTGGCCCAAATGATCGGAAGCTAACCTAGAAACGGGCAAATGGACTTTTAGTAAAAGGACTGTGTAAGTTTAGGGATTTTTCTGAAAGGATTTGAAGTTTAGGTACCACTTCGAAATTCCAGCTAAAGTTTAGGTACCACTGGTGAAATTTACCCATTGAAACTCATAAATTATGGATTGCAACCTCATATTTTTTGTTAAAAGCAACACCATACAATGTATCAAAAGTGGGAAGAATTAATCACTAAATTAACCATATCTTGCTAGATTCAATTTGGAATTATTGGCAATATTTGATAAAAATCTCCACCAAAGACATTTATTTTTTCTCCAAACGTTTGATTTTCACTCATTAGATTAGAAAATTATAGAATATCACGCAGGCTTTAATCTAAAGCTTCAAAGCAACATTTATGTTTCATTGGTGTTTCATCCCAAATAGGGTTGTGCAACAACCAGTCAGGACTGGAAATTAGACCTGAACCCGACCGGAATAGACCAATTCATACCGACCTAGAGTAATTAGGTTCGGTCTCCGGTCTTAATAAATTATGGATTCTGGGTTTCGATCTGGTCCGATCTAAAACCCGGAAATAACCATTCTGGACTGGAATTTTTTAATATATTATTATTTTTAATATTTTATACCTATCCTCCTATCCACTAATCCAAGCCCAACACTTATTATCCAATATCCAGTCCAATTAATTAATTTCAATGACCTTATATGTAACACCCCAACTCGAATAACCCAATTACATAGATTATTTGAGCCGAAGTAGTTACCATGATGGTAAATACGCATAACAATTTGAGGAATAATTTAAAACCAATTTAAACTTTAATATAAATGATAATTTCAAATATTAAATTCAGAGTATTGCTGAAACAATGCGGAAGCTTAAGTATAAAACATAATCAAATTGTTTTACATTTTTCTGGGTTCTCGCCCGAAAAGGTATTTATTTAATTAAAACATCATAAATGTGGTCCACCAGCCCGTACATCTCGTCACTCTCATTGACCTCTGGGATGGGCTCCATGATCAATATTGTTACCTGCGTGTAGCAAGTAAAACAAACTACACGCTCAGCGTCAGCTGAGGAATACGCTAATACAACAATTCCAAGTTGAATAGCAAGTAGACATATAATTATCATGATATGACATAATATAGCATGTATGCTCAAATGATGATTGTGATACGTAATAAATGTCATACATAGTCATAATGATTGCATTTGCTTGA